GAAAATCAAAGAGAAATATCTTTGAGTAAAAAATTAGGCTTGTCCATTTCCCTGCTTACAGAGGATTAAGAGTATGGGGATTGATTAAAATTTGACCTTGGATGGAAAGATGATTTTATGAAGTCTGGTTCCTTTTGGAGACAGTTTGGAGATAGAAGCCAGTGCATGGCTTTCCATACTGATTGGTGAGGGGGAGAAAAACACGTGTGTGTGTATGTGTGCCTCTGTGTGTAGTACCCACTGCCACGTGTTATCGGTGTTTACTGCTCCTTTTTATCATGAATGACAAATTTTTATATGGAATAGAAACGTAATCACTATTGAAACAGGAACTTATCTTGAATTTTCATTGTATGTTTCTGTGATTTCGGACCTTTGAGCAGTCTTTATTTAGACTTTTGATTGAAAATAAATGCTCTGCATGTTCTCTTAAAGATTTTCTTCCTAGGAGAAATGGTATTTCACAGAGCTTCAAAATACATGTTTAGTGGAATGCGTGAGTGTTTTCTGTTTCTGAGGAACGGTGTGTATACACAATGATTACCGCGGTAATCGGGACAGTCTGATGACTTGATAGCGGTAATTATGGGAAGAGGCTGCTGACGGGGCTGCCGAGGAAGGCAGGCTTTAATGAAGGCACCTCACCGTGCATTAACATGCCGCGGAACACGGGAAAGGGAAGAGAGTGGTTGGGTCCCATGGTGCTTCTCTCCCCCATCTCTCCATTCAACACATTTTAAACTAAATTGTTCTTTTTATTCTCAATCATTTCTGTTCTTCAACATCAATGACTGCTGCTTGTTTTGGTCCATCTTTTGTTTTGCTGCAGTGACTTGAGGGGGCCGGCTCCCAACAACAGAGGCTTTGACAAAGCACCAGAGGATTCTGTTAAAAAGTTGTGTTTCATAATTGTACTTGTCGTGTCAGAGCCTAACTGACTTGGAGCTGAAGGATTTTTGTGAGATGAGTAGCTGTGCCAGCAGGGACCCAAGTCTCCTGGGCTGGCCGTGCTCTCATTAAGATTTGCCGCTAGCAGTGGTGGTGTTCAGCATGTATGTGACGTGCATTCTGTTACTGTATGCTTGGCTTGTCAGCCTGCAGCTTCTGACACTCACTTATGTCACTCTTTATTCAGAGAGGAAGAAGCTTTTGATAATTTGACAAGACAAGCTCTTAAACGATCTAGGTCATGGCCTTCACTGTCTGTGATTGTGAACATATTTCCTGAAAGCCCTGTCACTCATCACAGCTACATTTTCTCCCGGGGAGCCACAGGCCTGTCCCGGTCTCTTGTCAGCTCATACATTTTGGTTATTCATATACCCAATACAGTACTGGGGTTTTTTTCCTTCCCTTTTGCAAATGCTCGCATGTTAGTAAGGCTAATGCTTTCTCCTGTGCTGTGTTCCCAGCAGGGCTGCGTTCAAGAGCTCTCTCTAGTACAAGGCCGACAACTGGCCAAGGGGAGCTCAGGAGGACCGGAGGCCTCCCGGTGCTGTTTTTGTGTTTGTTCACTGTTGTGGAAATCTGAGAACTGGTGGCAAGGGCCTTGTCTATTGAGCACTGGAGTCTTGGTCTGCTGTCAGGGGCTGTTTAAGATTGAGTGTTTTATTTTCTTTGATGTTCACATTTGAGAATAGGGAAGTGGGAATTAAACAACAGATGCACTAAGCCGTTGTTCTGGTAAAACAATAATTAGCACCTGATAAAATTCAATATGGGTCGAGATGCACAATATAAACTCTCACTTCATCTGGTGTGGCAAACTGTGTTGATTCATCTTTGAATTTTATGAATAATAGCGCTCGGTTATTTATGTATGGTTTATTATACAAAATACAATAGAGGGAAACTAGTTGGGCGAAAGTTGGCAAACAGTGTCGCAGTGCTGAACCAGACGTACCGGAGCGCCGCGTGTGTTTCAGCTGTGAGTCGGGGGGGCCTTCGGGCTGCCATCCGTCTAAGTGCCAGTGAGGTCACCAGGGCAATCAGTAAATACAATTGTATTTTAATAGTTTGTTCCATTTCCATCTTAGATGAATTCCACCGCAGAACCAGTCGTTCATTTAAATATTTTTAAATAAATTAGATCAGAGTTTCACTGGTAGAAGTGAGCCTTTTGCTCTAGAAGTTGCTTTGTTTCGTCTGAGTTTCCCAAACAACAGGCATGTAAGTGTGAGTGTTATGACGTTCTGTTTACTAAGAAGGAAAGGGTGGGCAGTCAACAGGAGTGGTAAACAGAAACAGAAGCTACGGGGGAGCGTATACGTAGGCCAGATTTTAAATTCATCGTGAAGCATGGTTGTATGCGGTCTGTTCAGAGCTAAGGGTGTGTGCTTTATGTGGGCACCCATATAGAATTGAAAATTGTCCCTTCTTTTTAACCTTATATGGAAACTACATAGAAAGTGGTGAAATGGCACAGTGCATGGGAATGCTGGTGGGGGACTGCCCAGCTGGCGGGGGGATTTGTATTTTGGTTGGAACCCTGTTGCCTCCTAAGAGGAAAGAAGTTTGCTGTGTCTCTGCAGATTTTCTGCAGCACCCTCAGGTTCAGGTACACAGCGATCGGATGATCATTCAGAAACCAAGTAATTCTTTCCTTTATTACTAAATTGCTGCAACACAAGCAAAGGTCACATGGCAGCGTGGCATTCTGCCAGCGTGTGACAACCCAGTGATTGCGATTTTTCAACCGTGTTATTCTGAGGGCACAGTGGTAATCAAGGACTGTCCATAACTAATGTATAAATAACTGCTGGCTTATCTCTACAATAATCCACTCAAATTATCCACACAGCAGAAAGCTATGATAGAAGGGAGGAAATGAATATTTAAAGGTGTATGGTGTGTTCAGTCTTGGTGGGTAACTCTGTTTATAAAAACATTTGCACTGACCACTCTCAGGGACCTGGGTGACTTATGGCATGTACCATTCAGGGACCCAGGTGACCTACCGCGTGTACCACTCTTAGGGACCTGGGTGACCTACCACGTGTACCATTCTTAGGGACTCGGGTGACCTACGGCATGTACCACTCAGGGACCCAGGTGACCTACGGCATGTGCCACTCTCAGAGACCCGGGTGACCTACGGCATGTACCACTCTTGGGGCCCTGGGTGACCTACAGGTTTGAGGCTGTACTTTGGTCCTACCATGCTCTGAAGCTACTGTTTATTTTTTTCAACAGTTTCCTTTTGATCAGTGTTTATCCCAGAAAGCATTGTGTACATGTGTTTTTTGTTTCTTAGTCAAACACTGTTGTTGTTGTTATGTGCCGTCGAGTCGGCCCCGACTCATAGCGACCACTCCTTGGGTTTCTGAGGCAGTATCACTACGGAAGTAGGATTGCCCAACCTTCCTTCCGAGGAGTCAAACACTGTAGTGCCCGTGAATATGATATTACAGTTGCGGAGCTGCCCACTAAGCAGTAATTTCTCCGCCTTTCTATAGAAACTTGCGTAGGATCCTTAAGCTCAGGATGCTTACCGAGTAAAACTTGCCACATAGCTGGACAAACCTGCTCTTCTTTGTCTGATCAGTTGTGATGGTGTACTCGGTGGGGATCTTGCCATTCCAAGTTATGTTGCTGTACCCATGACACTTTCAGGTTGTATAAATTCCCTTTGTTAGTTTTATCATTACCCTGAAAAACTAAATGAAAGACAAATGACAAGCAGGCAAGGAGTTATTTCAAAAGTGTACGTCAAAGATTGTAAGAGTTTAAAAAATAGATTTGACTCTAGTTTTCAGGCATGCCTATGTGGTGTACTGTATATGTGTCTGTACACATACGAACACGTTCACATGCATACACGTTTTTAAACAGAACCTATGAATTCACATCCACCTTAGAAATACCACTTACTTAACCAGTGGTTTAATTTATTTCAGCCAGTGATAGAGTTGTTTTAAAAAACACCTGTACTTTCCATTATCAACAGTTCCTTTTCTGAGAAGATGGTAAACAGAGAAGATGGTCCAAAACAGTGTCTCCTTCGCATTGCTGAGATACCAAGGGACACCCACTGCTGGGAGAGAGACTGTGAGAGACTGTTGGGTGGGAGACAGCAGGCTGAGACAGACTGGGCATTTTTCCTGAACGTGAATTGTAGCCTGGTGCTTCCCTAATTAACCTCTTAGTCTGTGAAAAAAAAACAAACAAACAAACAAAATAAAAACAGTGTCTCCTTAACGGGGTCTGAGTTTAAATGTGAGGAAGAAAGGTATATGTGGGTGTTCATAAGAAAACACCTCTGAGCAGCTGGTCATCGTCCTTGGAGGTTTATGTTTATTGTCACCTATTTTGGTCCCAGTATGTCCATCTTTCACAAAATTACTGTTTTGTCAGATTTTTAAAGTTATTTCACCACCAAAGTAAAGATGAAAGAGACTCAACTTTTAAGGGAAAGGCCGTGGTAAAGTGTGGGGTTGAGTTTCTTGGGTTTGTCTCTTGTTTTGTTTCTAACCCTCCTGCTACTCTATTTCATAGGGCACTGAAAGTTTACATCAAGTGATTGGTGACAGATGGCAGCAGACATCAGAAATACATGTCTGTCTCACTGTGGAGCGAAGTTTTCTTTTAACAGCAGTTTCTATTAAATTATTTTCTGCCATACCACCAAAGTTTAGAGTGTTCTTTTTCAGGGTAGACTGGGTGAGTTTCATTGATTTTAGCTACTGCTGTTCATTTATCAGTTTAACTGAGTTGTGGCTCTTAATCACATCTTAGTGCCTAAAAACTTCTAACCTTAAAAGAAAAAAAGAGAGAGCAAACTTTGTTACTGGCTTTCTGACAATGGCGGGGAGTGTGTTAAACCAGTGTAAAATTCAATTAAACTGTCTAGCCAGGTTTTTGAAGCTGAAATGCAGACCCTTTCTGTTAAGCTTCTTATTTTCCTGTGACCGACACCAGTGGATGCTGGGTTATGCCAAAACCAACAGGCTGTAAAGCACCTTGTTTCATGCTCCCAGCTGATCAATATTTTTATTTTCCAGGCTTGCCCAGAAATCTGGAGACAGTATCACCTAACGGTGAGTAGAAGCACCTTTTTTATTTTCCCCACGACCCAGCCTATTTGCCCTTCTCTGAACTGCTGACCATAAAATATAGACAAGGTTGCCCTGCTGGAAGATAATAAATGTCTGAAGAGTGTGTGCCGAGGAGGTGGCGTGCACTGTTCCCTTTCCCTGCCTGCTGCCTGTCTCTGTCTTCCTGTTCTTAAAGATTCCTGTGCTTTTCTTCTTACATCATGTAATGATTACATCATGATAGCTCTCAGTCTCCCCACACTACATTCATTAAGTTAAAGGGAAAAATCATGCTAGGAGCCAAGGAAAAAGAGTAGTAATCCAGTGTCTTTCAGATGTTGCACTGTCTGCAGTCCCCAAGCATACGGAGGCTCTTTCAATATCATTCTCTCGGACTGTACTAAATATTGGACATTTTTAATGAAACTACAGAAAGCTTAATAGATCTTTCATATAGAACAATTCAACTGTCATATCCTTAAGCCCCTCTTGGGTGATTTCTCCAAGTGTACAAATGGCTCCTTAGTAGCCATTCTCCTTATTCAGTTTCCTGGTTTCCTTTCACTGTGACTCTCGCCTAAGTAGAAGCACAGAAAGGTGGTTTGCTCCAGAATCTAATTGGTTAACAATCGATACTATGAAGTCAATTTACTTCTCCTTTTAAAACTGAAGGGTTACTATTTCAGTAGTTTACTATAACCCTGTTGGTCATTTCTTTTGATATATTAAATATGTTTAAGAGACAATAATAAATATTTTTAAAACTATACAGTTACATAATGTAATTAAAAGCTCTTCCTTCAAGCTTAGCGTATTAAAGTTTTTGTTCATTGGAAGACAGGTGGTAAAGTAGAAAAGAACAAGCTTTTACAAAACAAGTTTTTCTTCTCACTGCTGTCCTGTTACAGAAACAAAAGTAGACCAGCAGATAGACTGAAGCTGCAACCTCTGTGTCTGAGGCCCATGACGCCAGGGACAGCAGAAGGGCTGCTCAGTTAGTTGTCACTTTATTTGAAGAGTCTTAGAAGCAGGCTGTAATTCCTCCCATATCCTTCAGAAACCGTGGTGAAAGCTTTCGTCTGTATATTAAAAAAAAAAATTGTGTGTGTATATATATAACCACACATGGTACACACGTGTATTACAGCTGTTGCTCGTATGGAATCATTCCGTTTGTGCTTTCATAGCGGCTTCTCATCCTGAGGTTCTCTGGTGAAATCTTTACAGCCTAAACTTGACTGAAATGTACGCTTCTGTTCAGCTCTTCAAGGTCATGGAATCGCTCTTGTAGCTTCATAGCAGTATTTTTAGATCTGTATTTTTATTACATAATAGCTTAATGGTTTGGATGTTGCATTTCTTTTCCCCTAATGTAGAGAATCCTAATCTTGCAAGCTTGAAGCATGGAAATTACTATTTTAAGGCCACTGTCTTCATTATTTGCACCTGTTTTTCATGGAATGATCATAACAAGATAGAAATTGGTATTCAGTGTAACAGCCAAAATATTTAAAGGTTTCTTTAATATTTTAACTTTTCAGAAACATAAATTGTGGAAAGAAAAAAAAAAGGAAACAAAATGAATTTAACTTTTGGGGAATTACCATTCATTCTGACTTGTAGATATAACAAATGTATTTGGAAAAAGCAGTTTGTTCCAATGTGGAATCCTGATTAGTGTCTCAAAATCACATTGCAGTGACTGTTATAATTCGTAATTATTGACTTTAAATTAATTTACTGTGTAAGTGTAAATTTAGAATTAGTATGTTTAGAAACGTGTGTATATGTATCAGCCCGTCTAAAATGAAATAGTTAAATGATTGTGTAAATGATCTTAGCAGTCTGTGGGCAATACCCAGATGTGTACAGTGAGCAGCAGTCAGGCTGGCTAGCGGAGATGCATGACCCTCCGTCACCCTTAGCTCCTTTACCAGGCCGTGGACTTCCCTCCGGCACCCTTAGCTCCTTTACCAGGCCGTGGACTGCCATCTGTTGGCTTCCAGAAGCTTTCACACTTGAATGTGGCGTCTGTCAGAGCAGTGACCAAGCATTGAAGCCTAGGTTGGAATTGCTACTGTGTCATCATTTAAACCAGTCTACTTGAAACTCCAGAACTTTCTATACTTAATTTCTTTTTCTAAACAACAAAAAAAGGACCATTACTTACCCAAAATGAACTGCTTTTTTGGGAAAAATTGATTAATAGATCCAGTTAGGACTTGTTGACATTGGGCACGTCTCATCGGCTTTTTTCAGAAGAGGAGGTCGTGTACAGACCATCCGAAGTTTTACCGACTGTATATTACGGTCCAGCTAGGAATTGCTTTCTTTAAGAAAAAAAGGGGGGGCTATAACTTAAACAATACTGTCAAACGCTTAAGAAAAGTGATGAAGTCACGTAGTATGGTGACATCTGAAGGGACCGGTGAAGTGCTCCTGATCACAATTTTCTTAAAATTCATTTCAATGTAAGAACATTATAGAGAAGAAATGTTCACTATTTTTAGCATTTTCATGAGAAATAATAAAATAAAGCCTTCTTAACAGCTTGTACCTGAACAGAATAGCTTTTTAACCAAACTTGACTAAACTTCACTACGTTAATAAAAACTAATCCACAATTCTGAAGGGTACATCCCAATAAAATGTTACGATTATTTTTATATGGCTGTATGTGACATATGGTGTGCATTATAACAACTATATGACTACACCATTTTTTTATATATATTGATAGCTATAAAATTATGTTATATAATTTAATGGTTTAGAGACCTGCATGGAAAAGAGAAAAATATATGATTTTTATTCTGCAATTAAATAACTTCTCCCAGATAGTTTGTTTTTTACTTCTTCAAAAAGTCTTCAGAAACTTTTTTTAAAAAGTTAACAGTACAACGCTGTTCTTATATTTTGATTTCTCCTGTGTTTTCAGATTTTGGTGGAGCCTGGCCTCGAGTGTTCTTTGCCCCTTTTGAATAACACCCTCCAGATAGATGTCTCCCTCTTGAGCTGTTCACCAAGGAGAGTCCCTTCCCCCACGACCTGTCATTTCTAGACTCATTCACATTAAAAATCCTAGGCCAAAATGGCTGACAGCAGGGTTTTACAACCAACAGATTTTTTTTTACTAGTAGAAGGTATAATTTGACATGCTTTGGACAGTTTGCTAATCTTGTTTTTAATCTACTTACTTTAAAAAGTAACCAGGACTTTGCTATTTGGGACTGTTTGTGTTAAGAACCACAAGGGACAATACACGTTTTTTGTTTAATTTTGCGCTTAGAGTTCTTTGTCTGTAGTATTAAAATGTATTACAGTCTACAACCTTCTCTTTTAAGTAAAAATTTAAGCAGGAAGCAAATGTAACTTTTTAGAAAAATGAAGTTTCAGATATTTCTTTATACAGAATGTTTGGAGCACCTAGATTCACATTTCAGAGTGAGGTTTTTGCTGTTAGAAAAGCGAGGCAGGTCATTCCTCCCCGCATTTCCCTTTCTGGCCTGGAAGGGGCTGGCCTGCGGTTAGAGGTCTCTGGTAACCAGCAGCAGTCTCACCTGAGCTGATTGAATGGTGCATTGTCTGATGGACCGCCATTTACAATATTTCACTCTGTTTTGCTGCTCAGTTTCCTCTTCTCACGTGGGAGCATCAATTTAAAGATTCTATCTGGGTTTTCACAGTGTGGAAATGAGTTTTACACTAAGTGAGTGTATTACTCTTTGAAGTGTTCTATGACATACCAGCAGGTAACAACAACAATGGCATACCAGCAGGTAGGCAGACTCTAAATGTCGACAGATTGGGATTTCACTTCCGAGCTATGTTTTACAGTCCAGCAGGAAGGAATGTGAAAGTGGATGTGGTGGGTCTGCGGCTGTGGTTCCACAGACCCTATATCCTGGGATTGGATGCAAGGTAGGGTCAGGAGCAGTGTTCTAACCGCCTGAAGCTAGAACAGAATGTCTTCCTTGGAAGGTAACTTACAAAGAGAGTCGTTTCAGAAAGCCAGTCCAGAGCCAGATGTCTTCTTCTCAGGGAGGAAGCCACTGTCTGTGTCTCAGTTACACATCTGTCGGGAATCCTGACTGTCTTAACCACGAGCCCCTCGGCTGCAGAAGCAGAACTGCGCAACCCACCAGAACCCCTCCGCCCAGGAGACACCAGGTGATAGATCTTTGTTTTCTTTAATGGAAATTACACTGGTTGGTTGCGTGTTGTGTTTTAAAATGTTAACTTCCCCCAAACTAGAAGGGGCCCCGCCTCGGTCTTTGTGTCATTTTTGGAGGTCTGGCACATGGATGACCACCAACTTCACACTTGGAGATTCCCTCTGGAACCTTTCGTTTGGTGGCCCAGACTGACGTTGCCACCACCTCCCTCAGAAGCCAGGAATACGCTTCAGTTCTCATTTGTTTTTTTGATACCTGGTGTTGCTGTTTGATTGACCAAGTGTTGCCATGAAGACACTACATCTCTGTCACATTTTCAGCTTTAGTTTTTATTGAAAATGCCCTTAGTCCTAAAGCATTGCTGAGCTGACTGGGCGTGTTGTCTGGTGATGGAGAAGGTGCAGCACGGTTTGGCAGGCCCCCGGGCCTCTGTGTGTCGCAGCCCTGCAGAGCCAGTCAGCCTGCTTTCCCTCTCGGCTCACCTGGTGCTGGCTGAGGAAGGCTGTTTTGGGTCAGCGTGGTGGCTTCTTTTCTGACACTCCACCTGTGGAAACAGACAGAAAATGCACTGAGATCGTGGGGAAAAAATTAAGATTTTTCAAATGGAAAATGTATGTGAATAGTTTTATATTTATTTTATTTAAGCACTTTGTTCTGGAAAAATTTAGTGTCAAAATTAGGCTAGTAATTGTTTTACTTAAATATTACTATGTTTTGAATTTGGTATAAAAGATAATTACTACATTTACAGAGTAGGCCGAAGGATTTTTTTTTTTTTAATCTTTATTTCACTGGAATGTGTACCACATTTTGCCAGAACTTATCATT